GGGCCGAAGTGGGGAGAAGAAAGAGCTGGACCCTCCTCTCCTCCCAGGAGAAAGGAAAGACCCCGCATTGAACTCCTGCCACTCCTGCCCTCTCAGGGACCCCCACCTCCTGCTTGCACCCCTCCTGGCGAGGAGGACGTCTTCCCTCTGAGGCAGCTCTTTTCACCTTCAGATAATAAACATCTGAAAGGTTTTCCCAAAGACAGATGCACCCACCTTGCCTCAGGCCCTGCCCTGAGTGCCATTACTGCTCCCCGGCTTTACTGACTGTTCTGGCCCTACTGATTGGCAGAATTCACTCATGGAACCATCCCCACCACCCTACCCCCTGGGCTTCTGTCCTGTATGTAGGTGGCTAGGCCATGTGCATACCCTGAAACCCTCCTTTCACCTCCGCTCTTGCCATACACAATGACAGCCACTCTTCCTCCTGTGGGATGCATATTGAGCTGAAGCCAGAGACCTGTGCTCACCGCTAGAGCCCACAGGCTTGTGGCTCCTCTCCCTGGGGCATCCGCCCCATGCGGGCCTGGGAGGCACCAGCCTGCTCCCCGTGCTCCAGGTGCTTCCACTGCAGCCGTGAGAGGTGCAGTCACTCCCTGCCAGCCTCCCGTGGTTTCCAGCCCTCTGGGCTTTGACTCTATGGGGAGCAGGGTGGGAGAGTCACAGCAACAGGAGTCTGTGCCTTGTGACTGGGTGAGTCGCTCCTTCGCTGTGCCTCCGTCTCCCGTCTCTAAAACGGGGGCTGTAATCTCTGCCTTCTGGGGCTTTTGGAGGCCTGAGATGGGGAATGTGAGGGGCATGATGTGGGTGCTCCCACCATAGGGACAAATGTCTGCTCCCTTCAGTTCCAGCCTGGCTCTGCTGCCCACCCATTCCAACCCCCACCACTGGAGTGACTCCCCACCCCACCCCCAGATGGGACTCATGTGGTAGGAGCCAGCTCCGACACAGCCCCAGGGGGCTTCTATGAGACTTGGTCCTCCCAGTGACCCCCAAAGGCATTTGCCAGTCCAGGACCCCACCCCTGACCATGCGGCTCTATGCCCACAGCACCTGCGCTTGTCCCTGAACGGCCACGGGCAGTGCCACGTCCAGCACCTGTGGTTCCAGTCGGTGCTTGACATGCTGCGTCACTTCCACACCCACCCTATCCCGCTGGAGTCAGGGGGCTCCGCAGACATCACCCTGCGCAGCTACGTGCGGGTCCAAGGCCCCCCGCCTGGTAAGACGCCCCACCTGGGAGGTGTAATGGCTCAAGAAATAGGTGGGAGGTGGGGGGAGGGAGTCGCTTAGGCCGCATCCCAGCTTAGCTAACTCTAGTGCAGTGGTTCTCAACCTTGGCTGCACATTAGAATCGCCTGGGATTCTGTTATGGGGGTGAGGCCACAACATTAGTAACAAAGAAACAGAATTTCCGGAGGATGAGGCCCAGAAATCAGGATTTTAAAAAGATTCCCAGGTGATTCTAATGTGCAGCCAAGGTTGAGAACCACTGCTCTAGTGGGATGAAGGCCAGGACTGGGGCGGCTGTAAGCAATCAGGGCCATTAGATTGGAGGGGGCGTGGCAGGCCCACCGCGCTGGACGGGGTGCTCAGAGGCAGCACCGGGCATTCCCTGGACACAGGCGAGACTCTGTGACCCTAGGCCACCCCCTTCCTCTGGGCCTCTGGTCCCGGTCTGAGCACTGGGCCTGGGGAAGAGGACTAGGGAACCCAAGCCGGCACTGACGCGCTGGGTCCTGTTGCAGACC